TTTTTTCTTCTTTTTCGCTCGACACCCCATACACTCGATTGACGATTCTCCATCGGCGTTGATCGAACGAGGAAAAGGGAGATTGGCGAGCCACTTCAAAGAGTCGGCTCGAGTCCTCTTCCCGGGGAAAAGAGCCCCGGCCAGGGGTTCATTTTTCTAACGGCGAGGCGGTACCAGAAGCGCATTTGCATCTCTCTGTTCGCGAGCTCATTTTTCCGACTATCTCGTCGGAAATAAATCTGCCCTGAGCCACGGAACAGGCCACAGCCGGTAATAAAAAAAAAAAAAAAAAAAAAAGATAAAGAAGAAGGAGAGAGAGAGAGAGAGAGAGAGAGAGAAAAGGCGAACGACGGATTCTCCCTTTATCTGCGCCACGTACCGCGGCTTTTTAATGATGGGCATAAGTAAAAGCGCATCCTGGCCTTAACGACTGAAACTGAGCGCGGAAATTCATTAAGGGGAGAGGTGGAGATTCAATGATCCGAGCGTCCATGAATTCGTGGGTCGCGGGCTTCGCGCCATTTTTCTCGTTTCTTTTTTTCTTTTCTTCCTTTTCTTTTTTTTTGATCGTTTCACTCTGTCGCCATTCATCGGAATTTTAATACTCATGTTTTTATCATGACCAGTTATTCCCCGAGCGTCCGCTTTTTTTTTCTTCTTCTTCTTTTAAAAAATTATCACTCGTGCTATTTTTGGGGGGAGATGTTGATGCCGAGCGTTGTGATAGCGTGGCTAGTCGTGATTAATTGGGATCCCGAGTTGCCGAGATAATAAAATCAAATTTAACACGCCGATTCGGCTCCTTCCATTCGTGGAAGAGATACGCATTTTAAGCGAGCGAGTGTTCTATTTCGTCGTCGTTTTTCTGTGATGTTGACAATTCGAAAAAAATATGTACAAGCGTACTGAAATTGAAATTTTTATTAGAAATTTTTTGAATACGAAGCCATTTTAGAAAAAAAAAAAAAAGAGGTAGAAAACTAATCAAAATATCGAGTCAAAATCTATAAAAATGGTTCGGATTATGAGTCAGATTCGTACACGTGTTAAGAAAAAATATGTATATTCGATCCTATAGCAGCCAAAATATTTTGGAACAGAATAATTTGTAATAAATTGTATTTTAAACGAATACTGATTTCGTGTATCGTTTCTTATTGAATTATTAATTTGTAAATTAGTATTAGATTCAAATCTTGTCAGAGTGCATTACATCTGATATAAATAAATGCTTATGCAAATTTATCTATATTTACATATATATTAACTCAAAAAAGTGAAATTTGCATAAAGATTTATTTTATTCGTTAAATATTTCATAATACGTATCGTTTCTCACTTTTACGTTTCTTGTAAATGCAGAATTTTAATTATACGAAAAAAAAAAAAAAAAATAGCAGAAAACATCGAAGTAACAGTTTAGTATCTATTCATAAAACATTTACTTCGTTCCTCTGTTGCTAATTACCATATTCCAACGAGCAAAAGCTAAATCGTGATATTAGATCTCAGATAAAATCTTTGTGTGGCGTTCAACCGTGACTTAAAAAAAAAAAAAAAAAAAAAAAACGAAAACATTGGATATTCTACTTCGATTTCGATCTAACGTTTTTATCTGATTTCTGACCATATTTATGAATTTATTGTTCGATAATTATCCAATGAATTGTTCGCAATGAATGAATCGATTATTATTATTATTTTTCTTTTTTTGTTTCGTGACGTTTTTCGTCGAAATGATTTGTGTTTCATTCTTTGCTAATGTTCTAATTATATGTTAATATCAATGCCTTATTATATTTTTAATTAGTGTAGCTATCCATCAAGCAATTTCTTAAATGATATGAAATATTAGAAATATCAGATTGAAGAACATACGTGAAAATAAAAGAATGATTCCTCGTACGATAATTTTTCATAAGACTTTATTTTCGAGAGAATCGATTAAAATACGTACGAAAGGAAGGGAAATTCGCTTGAATATATTTCTTTCCATTCTAATCATTCTAATTGAATTTATAAATCACGGCTTGAATTAATATTTCATTATATCTATTAATTAAACTATAAATTCTCTGTTTCATTTCAATTAGATACGTACGATCAAGAGATTCATATTATAGATAATCTATAATAGATAATCAATATGCAAGTGCGTTTAAAATTTCACAATTGACTTATTCGAAAACGTTGTATTGCGAAATCGTCGTTCTACATTTTCGACATATCTGCTGTTTCAACTTGAAATATAAATAAATAAATTTCAGGAAAGAGAAATTTTTTTTTCAAAATCTTCATTTTTAAAAAATGCTAAACACTGTAAACTTTTGGTAAAAGACAGAAACAATCTCGCGTTAAAATTTACGATACATACGTTTCAAAATTCAGAATCATTCAATAAGTGTAAATACATTTATTTATTCAAACGAATCAATTCATCGTATGATGAATTCCTAATTTAAACGTTCTAACGTAAATCAATCTCTTTTATGCATCGGTATGCATATATTCTTTTTTTATTACTTTCCGTCCCCCCTCCTTTCCCCTGCATTCTTTTCCCGAAGAAACATCATCATTTTCCCACCGAGCTCCTCCACTCGTATATCGTTATTTATCCTATTTTACATTTGCAAGGAATAAAATCCAATTAAAACTCGAAGGAAATTAATTTTTTTAATGCGCGTTTCTGAAAAATTATTGACATTTCTCACGTTTCGAATCGTCGTGAAACGATATCGAACCGATATTCCCTCTCGAGATCGAGAGAAAAACTCGTTCCAATCCGCGTAATTCCTCTCGAATGGTTCGCGGATTGGATTGAATTCACGAGGTATACCGTGTCTTTATATCATTATACCAGCATGCACCCGCCCCATTTATTACCGATTCGGCCGGAAGTTTAGACGTTTAGGCGCGCAGAGGAATCGTTTCGCTCTCCTTCTTTTTTTTTTTTTTTACTCGACGGGCCGACTTGAATAGACGAATCGACGAATTCTTCCAGAAGAAACGGGAAAAAACGGGAAGAAAGAAGAAGGGAAAAAATTGATGATGAGTCTTTTTAAACGTCGATCATCGATTAGACGGAGCGGACGAGGTTCGATGTTCCGTGGTTGGTTTGGCCTCTTTGAGGATGGCCCGGGGGTAAGGACCACCTGGGCTGCACAGCAAGCCGCTGTTAGGCCCTCGATTCACCCTCGAAGCATTCCCAACACCACGTGCTGGAACACGTGGCCGTTTATTGGCATAGGTAAACCTCCTACCTTCGATTGGCCACGCTCTCATTACACGTTTTTCCATTCCCTTTTAAACAGCGTTAAGAGGGGATTTTTCTTCTTTTTCATTACGTTTGATGAAGTGATGTATTACGTTGTTGCGAGAGGGAAAGGAAGGAAGACAAGAGTTAAGAGCCTTGAGTGAATGGATGCACGGTTAATTTGAATTCTCAAACTGTTAGGAGATTTAATCGTTTGAGAACGAAATAAAGTTAAGTTAGGATGATCTATAATTTTGTTTTTCACGTAGAATATATTCTTAAAATATTTGTCGATATATAAGAAAAACAAAATTATTTTTATATAAAATTACTGATCTGAATAAATTTAGTTTATTCCTATTTTTCCCAATTTTGAGAAAATCGTTTCGAATTGTTAAAATAAAATTTCAATTAGAAAGTTTGAAGAATTGATATTTTCATTAAATAGAAAAAAAAAAAAATTGAAATCTAACACAAATGTAGATTAAACATTATCAGATGTTGATTTAGGTTTACAAGTATCCAACGCGTGCTTGCAATAACAATAAATCAATCCTCAGCCGAGTCAGCGAGCTTAACCCAATTTCATGTAATAACCTAATCTAACAATGTTTAAAATCAATAAAAATCGCATTCGATTTTTTTCGTCATATTCGCAACAATTTCGAATCGTGCAAAAGTCGAAACAAATAAAAAATTGATCTCATTTCACGATAAAAAAAAGGAATAAATAAATCGCGCAAGTTTGCTTAAAATCGCTCAAAATCGCTTAATCTATTGAGAATTTCTTTCTATCAATCCCTGGACACACGTTTACACGCAACTTCGCGAGACAGAAGTTAATCGAAATCGCGAACCCCTCAAGGGATACCTCAAACGAGATCCAAACGAGTTACGCTCGTTTCTATCCCCTTATCAGAATCGCGATAAATGCTCGTAATAAGTTCTTATCATCAATCATTCTGACAGGCTGATAACTCACTCCCATTCACAGACACACGTTTCCCGCGTCTTTTGTCGATCGTTCAACGTTTCGCGACTCGTAACGAGAGCAACGTCTCGACAAAGCGATTTATTTATCTCGAAGAAAAAAAAGGAAAAGTATCGATCGATTCTCGTCGTTTAACTCGTCGATAGCTCGTGCGCCACGTGGTCGACGAACGTGATCGAAGGAAAGGCAGCCTCTTCCTTCGACCGCTGAAAAGTCGACCACGATTCGGCCGGATGGAATGCACGGCTCCATTCATTCGAACCGGTTATTTCTAGAAAAGAGGAGGCTGAATGAAAATCTGTCAACCCACGTGGCGAAACCCGCGTGGCCAATGACCGCTTTCGACCACGGCCGCCGTTCCACTCTCCTCGCCTTCCATCGTCCACGAATGAATCGATGACTAAATCGCTAAACTCGCGTGAAATTCACGGATAAGACGTTCTCACAATGGGACAATGATAGATGAGACGTTTTTTCGATTGAGGATAATTTGGAGCTGGTGATTGGGATTGGTGATTGGCTTATTGTTCCTCTCGTGACAATATACATTTTTTATTGTACCTCTTTTTTGCATTTTGTTAAACGAAGAGGGAAAGATATTCAATAATTCTTTATAACGATGATTTTACTTTGACATCATTTATCTAAGACTTTTTTAAATCTTGACTAAGATTTGGTTTTAAAATTTAAAATTATTTTAAACCAAGGAATCTAATAAATTTTTCGAATAAAAAAAAAACTTGTTTCGATTTATAATTTCATTGATTAGTCGTAAAAAAAAATAAATTTGGTTATATAAGACTGTAAAAGTTAATTATAATCAATCGATTCCCGCGCTTTTTCGCAACCAATCACACATGTTTCCACCATCTAAGACAATTCCCCGCGTGGGGAAAACTGGGATAGAGGGGGGAGGAGAGAGGGAGAGAGAGAGAGATCGTATCTATTCTTCCGTTACGCTGTCTTGAATTTATATATGCGGTGCATAAATAATCCTTGTATTGCGAGATAAGGATCTATGATCGTTGTTTACGAGCATTACCGTCGTAATTCGTTTTCCAGCTAACAGGATTCATTTCTAATCTCGTTGCCCTTTTTCCATCGGCTCCTTCGTGATCGTGCCTCGTAGTCACGAAGGAAGAATCGATGCCTCGAACTAGCGATGTTTCGACGGTTGAGCTAGCGAATAGGACACACGACGCCTGACCTGAATTCCACTATCCGCACGATAGACGAACAATTGCGTAACACACGCGTGCTTCGTGTGGACTCGCCTTTTCGCGCTTCGCGTTGGTCCTTGGAGGAAGAAAAAAAGGAGCGAGCGCGCCAAAAATTTCTTGCTTATGTAATTTCATTGCCTTGGCCGTGCGGTATGCGGCGAACTCGTCGCGTTTCACGGACCAACGGAACGATTCGCGCGCTGATGGATCGTTTAGGTTCGTTATTTGCTACGCATCTTAGTAAGGGACATGATTAAACTCGAAGGTCGTTCGAGATTGAACCGAAAACTCGTGTTAAATCGTGTTAAATAATGTAAACGAAACGAAACGTAAGATTTCAATTTAATTTATTGAAAGTCAGTTTGAAATCGTAAGAGACAAATAAGAGGCAAAAAAAATGTGATGGTATTTCTAATGTTCTACTTTCCAAGCGTTTGATATTTGTATATCGCGATAAAAGCGCGCGAATGAGGTTTCCAGCTCTGTGTACCGGTAGGTAGAGAAGATCGAATCGAAAAGCAAAGGGAATCAGTTTTCTTTTCGGTCGATCGCGATAAAATTAAAATAAATTCGTAGGATTAAGAAAAATCGTCTACATGCGCTACGTATGCATCCGTAAAGGTTTATCGCGCGTCTGCCATCTCTCTAAGTTGCCTTGAGGATCCAAGGACTTCAATTGAAACGATACACGTTGTTATATTGTACATGTACGGGAGTATATACCGGTTCGCGAGAGCTCGTTTCGCGGTAATCGACAATTGAATCGACATACGGTTCGGTTGATAAAGAGCGGGAAACTCACTCTGGCGTCTTGTTGTGGATCACGCAGCGATCGTATCGCGTTCTCCTTTATATTATCCCAATAGGATTTTCTTCTTCGAACTCTCACGTTGCTGCTACAACTTTTTGTCACGCACAGAGATAGGCACACAGAGAGACAGACACTGAATCACTAAGAAAAAAAATTGTTTTCTGTTAAAACACGCGATATTGTTACAGGAATTTCAATCTCGAGGAATCACTGCGCGAAACTTCAGCGGAGGCGTACTTATCGCGTGTAATCGCGCGGCTCGGCTTCCCGGCGAATGCTTCTCGCTCGTGAAACAACCGTGAACACACCGAGGAACATGCACGACACACCGATAGACAGAGAGAGAAAGACAGAGTGATAAAAGGGAAGGAGAAAAAGAAGGAGAGAGAGAGAAGAGAGAGAGAGAGAAAGAAAGAGAGAGAGCCTCGTGTGCGATCTTCCGAACGGAGCTCTCACCGTGCACTGACTGCTCCGCTCCGCTTGCTCGCTACCGTCAATAAGATCGATCGAGTCCACTACTCGCGAGAGATCACACTAGACGCGCAGCGATCCGCCGAAAAACTCCCGTGGGACGCTTCTCCGCCCTCTGCAGCCCTCCTCGCCTATTCTCCCTCCCTGCTGTCCCTCGCTCCTTCTCACTCGCGCTCCTCCCCCCCTTTACTGCCCTCCCCTCCTCTTCCCGCCGTTCTCTAGCTTCTTCTCCCCCGCCTCCTCCGCCACCACCCTCCCACTCTACCCCCTTCAGCGTCAGTGCACTGCTCTGTGTGCTTTGAACGTGTATGCGCAGTCTGTGTGTAGACATTTATACATATAAAGTAGTATACTCTCCCTCCCCCCATTCCCTCCTCCCTCCCTCCCCTTTCCCCTTGTCGATCTATCCTTTTCTCGTTCTCGTATCGCTTTCCTTCTCCTTTTCAGAGCATTCTCTTTCTCCCTTCCCCTCTTTGTTCAACGCGAGAGGTTATCCCTGTCCCTCTTATCGTGGACGCGCTATCACGAATTCCGGCGGCCAGCGACACTGGCTACGTGAACTCGACACTGGTCCCGCGGTGTCATAACACTGGTAACAGCCTGTCGTGGGCTATTAAAAGCGCGTACAACGTTGGGGGCAGTTATCACGAGCGTGATGCGCGGACCGTTTGCACACGCCACACCCCGGAACCACGAGGAGGAAGGACGGAAGGAAAGAGCGTCGCGATGACAAGAGTTGATCTTCGTGAAGTTTTGAAGGGCGGGACGCGACTCTATCTCATGAGAATTGATTTCCATTGAATTGATTTTAAAGCGTCGCGTTTTTTCGCGATATTCTTTCTTCTTGTTTTTTTTTCTTTTTTTTTTTTTTTGTATTTAGAAGAAATGGTAGAAGAGAAAAGTTTCGTCGGTCGATTCTATTTTGGGATTTTTATTTATCTTCTTATCTTTATCTTTTTTTCATTTCTTTCACGTTCAATATTATTTTCGTTTGTATCTTTTCGTGAAAATTAAACAAATGGGCCAAAGAAGTCGATTTGGTTAGGTTCATTGGCTCGTACTGTCGTTCAAAGTCAGGCCAACAGCGCGTCAAGTGCGCGCCTCTGAGCTGCAACTCGTCACACGTCGCTCGGAACCGTTCGTGCCTTTCCGTGTCGCTCCGCTTTCGCGCTTCCCTCACCATTTGTTCCTCTCTCTCTCTCTCTCCTCTTTGTCTCTTCTCTCTCTTTATTCTTGTTCACTGTTCAACTTCTATCTCCGTCCCTTTTTCTGATTCATTCCCTCTGGTTTTCTTCCCCGATCTCTTCCTTCTCTTTCCCTTCCTATTTCCATTTCTGCCCCCTTCTGGTCATCGCTGTTTTCCTTCGTTTTTGTTTCGTTTTATCTTCGTTTCATATCCTCCTTTTCCCTCTGAAAGGCTGAGAGAGTCTCCTACGCGTTCTGTACTTCTCTCTCCCTTCCTCCCACTTTTCTCGTTTCCCCCTTCTTGCTGCTTCGCTCCCCCTGCTGGGTTCCCATACGGAATCCCACCAATCGTACTCCAACATTGAGAGAACTCCAGCGATGGAAACGATATTCTTGCAAACTGTGTATGTATCGATATATATTTCTGCGAGAAACCTTTAGGTTTTTTCATGAAAGTATTAAACCTATTTTTCTCTATCCAAGGAAATGATCAAGGGAGCAAATAGAAATTTAAAAGAATTTTTTAAATTATACTTTTAAGTCAGCAAATATTAGGAGAATTAATTAATAATGATTATTATATGAGCGTGCATTCATCACAATTTACAATGTGACGACTGAATGCCTTGGAAGATTACATCATAAATAGAACTTAAGTACTACACTATTACTTAACTATATCCCTACTTGCTACACCACTTATTAATCTAAATATGAATGTATTCACGAGGAAATGAATAATCATTTAATGTATACTAGCTCTTGCTTATATTTTTTAAATATTTTTCATATAATAAAAGTTATATAATCAATTCCGCATTCCTCTTTCATATTTTTAATATTTTACATAATTTCTATTATGTTCTTTTCGTTCCATTACAAATCTATCGTTATTCTTTCATCTCTGTTTATCATTTCTTATTTTTTTCAATGCATATCTTTACTAGAATCATGTAACTCTCTTGAATCTGTGATATTGCTCATTTCCTCATAATCATCATCGTATATTGTCATCGCTAGATGGGATAATGCGCTCGAAATTCTTTCTCCGTCTTTGTCATTGGCATCGTCGTCACCGCCATCACCAGCAGGTTGCCATAGCAATCTTCCAAAACCACCACTTTGGATTTTAATTCTTTTCGTTCGATCTGTTTTATCTTATATTATCTTTTAACATTAAAATCTCATAGTAAATACAAAATAATTAGTGATTCATGCGGACAGATGATTCTTAATATAAATATCAATGTAAAAATGTAAGAAAAGATAAAAAGTTTTTGTTTGAAAATTTGTTTTCGAATAAATTTGATCAATATATGATTGGATACGAATGAATTATTTATAAAGAGATTAATGCGAAATAAATGAAATTTTTTTTTAAATTATCATTTTTTTCACTTTAAATTTATCAAACTTAATCTAATTTGTTTAATTTTTTTTTAAAAACAATTTAAACAAAAAAAAATTTAATTCTACACTTTTTACTTTTTTGCAAATAAAATAACCTTCTACAAAAAAATCACTTGTATTCAATCGGAAATTAATCAAATTCTCTTTGATCAATTTTGATAAATGACATTAAAATTCAATTTTCTCAAAACGAAATCTCAAACGAAAAAATTTTACTCTTTCTCGTCTTAATTTTTACACGTAAAATCACCTCGTATCGTATCATCACCAATTATCGTACAGAAAGAATATATCGAAAAATTTTTCCCCTCGTAAACTTTTGATCAAAAATCGATATTTCAAATATTATTACGAATATGTATAACTATCATTGGTATTTCAAAAAAAAAAAAAAAATAAATAAAATTGGACCACAGTTAACCTATGAACGGGGCCATTGGCCGCCTCGCGAGCAAATAAAAAACGACTGGGGCAAGAGACCTCTCCCTTTCACGACATCGATATTTTAATTGTTCCAGCTCGTCAAGGCGACTCGCTTGCATCAGCGATCGTGTGCCATAACACTCAATTAACTGTGTATATAACTTTCCTTCGTTCCCCTTTTATGCTTCATCGATTCACGTTGCGATTTCCTGACGCTCTATTGATCCCTTCAACCACGTTTTCTCGCCCATTTTCACAAAACGAGAAAGAAAGAATTCAGATAACTCGTCGATATAAAGCAAAAAAGGAAAAATCGAAATTTTCAAAATATTGTTTCTCCCATTTGTTATCTTACATGTTTTTTTTGATTTGAATTTATTATTTCATTATTTGTTATCATTCTTTATTGCTGATAAATAATTTTTCTATGTGCTATTTTATATATATTTTTTTAAAATAGGTAAAAAAGTGAAACAAAAACTTTTTCGTTCAAGGTTTTATTTTTGACAAAAATTGAATTCGAAAATTTATCGAATATGTATGTATTTGATTAATTGTTATCCGTTTGGATCGTAACAGATCGTATCTGATTAATCGCTGACTATGTATACGTTCGCTAATTAACGTGTTACGATTTGATAGCTCTCTATTGATCACCAATCATATCTATCCTCTAATTATCCAAATTTATACATATTTGATAAATTTGATTTTTCATCAAAGACAAAACCTCTGTTTCTTAATTTCTTTTATTTTAAGCAGTATTATCTCCTTAATTCTGCATAGAGTTAATATTATTTGTTTAATATCAAACTTTTTATTTTATTCATTATTATTTTTACTAATTTTATTTTTTTTTTTTCATGATAAATGAAGTGAAACACAGACAGACTCGTTTTGATGAAAAACGATAAAGAAACTGCATTAAATTTTAAGAACTTCCATATTAAAATCTCTCGAGTCTTGAGCGAAACAATTCCACTCCACTAATTATTTTTCCACGTGAAATCACCCCTTTCTCGATTTACACCATCAGGTTAACACAAGTTAAAAATAACTAATGGGATAGAAACAAGGAACTAGAGAAATTACAGGTTCGAAAGTGCAACTCATGTTAGACGTAGATATCTAAAACGGTGGGTGGATGGTTCGTTTATTAACCGTCGCTGCAACTTGTTGCTGGTCGCGTTGCCGCTGTTGAATAACGCCCTTCTGACCTCTCCGGAAGCTACCCTGTCCACGCTGCTCTCCTTTCAAGGAAACCGCCCCCCTTCTGCGGTTCCGTGCTTCCGCGTTTGCCAAATCGCTTCTGCCACTCGAGATAATCGCGGTTTAGTCCTTGAGAATCATCCCCCCCCCCCCGACTACCTTGGTTAACGAGTCTCGTGCCAAGAGAAAAATAAGATACTCGACAGGATCCTTAACATATTTTATTCTTTCTTTTCAGTGTAATGATAGAATGTTGATTTTTGGCTTCGAGAAAAATTGAATAAAAATGGAATAAAAAATATCTTATATCGTTATTTAAATATTGTATTTGTTATTGAAATATCGTCGATTATTTTTAAAAATATTATCGATCATGAATGAGCGCTTTTTTAATTTTTAAATGATGCGAAAGTTTGATATAATATGAGATTAATGCGATGTGAAATGTAATATAAATTTAGATAATTTTTGATTTGTCACAATGTGACAAATGTTGGCTGAAACATAACATGAGTTTGGATAAGAAAATTTTAGATTGGAATAGAGTTCTTCGATGAAAAGTATAATTTATTTATATGATAAATTTGCCAAGAATGGCGAATCCATACAATACTTTGAATTTTCCTATTCGATCTTAATTTCGATATAAATTTAATTTGAGAAATATAATGTTAAATTATTGGTAAATAACATTACTCGGTTTTTGACCCCGTTAAGACAAGCAATTTCAAACAAATCGTACATCATCATCCATGATAAATTTATTATACCGGTGTTCTATGTTTACAAAGCGTTCTACTTTTATCGCAGCTTAGAAATCAATGTGGGTTAAGCAGTTGCAGGTTAACAGTTATAGGTAATACAGAATAATCTGTATTCTCAAGCGGTTATATTATGGATTTAAAGAAGGAACAAGTGAAATATTTTCTATGCTCTTCAAAATTCAACTAACTAAAAGTACGTGTTTATCAAATTTATTAGAATTTTAAATATCATTTAAGGATAAATGATAAAATTTTTAATACATATATAAATTCTCGAAAAATATAAAAAAAATAGTAGTAGATAATATTTTTTACAAAATTTGCTCATAATTTAAAAACTGAATATATTATCAATTGGAATTTATATTTTTTTATTATGTTTTTATATTTTCATTAACTTTAAATTAATGTTAAAAAGAAAATGTAATATCAAAAATACATATAAATAATAATTGACTCGATAAATCTTTGAGGCAAAATTAAAAAAAATTGTTATTTCGTTAACAATGAACAATAAAACACACAACTTATTGATTTATTGTTGTTTTATTGAAAAAAAAAAAAAAAGAAATAACATTATTCATATTACATAAAACAGTAACGATGACAGATTCAATCTGCAATAAATCACTTATCTTTCATCCGAAAGAAAACCTGCATCAAAATGATGCAGAATATTTTTCTGCACGCATTGCATACGTAATAATTCAAAAATAATCAAAAACATATATATGCCCAAGATCTTCTTGCTCCAAGATCCTCGATCTAACTTATTTTTCACGAAACCAACCGACATCACTTTCTCATCATCACTTGAACACATATGTTAGAAATTCCATTTGTTTCCTCTCTATAT